GCTAACCATACTTCTATCACTGTACTTGAGCTAATAAACTGTACTGCCAAACTATCTGGCTTTTGGTCTATGGAAAATGTTTAAGGTCTCTCAGAAGGAAAATTGGGAAAGCAAAAATACACTAAAAGAGAACTACTAAAGGTGAAATCAAAAACTAATAGAACATATTTACTGTTTCTTTATGTCTGTAAATGACAGATAAAATATCAACCTAATTACAATTAGTATTCCATCTAATATATATTGAAATCAAGAAGTATTGATAATTAAATAAACATAAGCGTTTTTTATTTTCAAAATTTGTATCATTTCATAAAGAATAATCGAGATTATCGGAAAAAATGGGAAAAATACTATATAATAATGTTGTTACGATATCGCATGCCTTTCAAGAGTGACAGTCTTGAAACCTTATAATTATTTAGTACTAATTACGTAATCTAATATGCTAAACTTTCAAAGATTTTTCTTTTGTCGAATCCGAGAAAAATGCATTTTGTAATTACGTCAAAATGTATGGAGCACTCTTTCTATATCTAATAGATTCGCCCGCTTAATTTAAAAATTCGAATCGCTCTTATATTCATCTCAATAATATAAAATCATATGAAAGGGAAAATCCTTTGCAGATGAGTAAAGTTTCCTGCAACTAAAACATATCCTGTTGTCCGTCAATTATATCTATATAACTATATATGATAAAATTCCTCTTTAATTTTAATGCATAAAAATTACTCTGATATAATCTCTTTTAATGATATTTTATAAAAAGGAACATACTTTAAAAAACAGACAAGTTCGCTGGAAGAAGAAAAAGATGTCCTATCGCCATCATTTATTATAGTTTACCAGATTGGTCGATTTGAATAAAATTCACTTCGATATTTCTTGTATTTATATCAAGAAACCAGCTGGTATCGAAATAAAAATGCTTTACAAAGCAGAGAAGTTTGTGTATTAAAACATGTCTTACTTTATCTCAATAAAACGAAATCATATGAAAGATAAATTCCTCAGAGAACAAAAGTATCCACTGGAACAAAAAAAGCATACTGTTCTACATCAGACGTATCGACAAATGATTATATATAATAGATTGATCCTTGTGACTTGAATTCATCGAAACATATTCTATCTTTATCCAGATGAATCAGTTCATATAAGAAGGAAAATACCTTACAAAACAGAAAAATCCGCTGAACGAAACAAAAGTCCTCTTGTCATTTTTATGCATATCATTAAGTCTCTTTGACTTTAATCTATTCAAATGTCTCTCATATACATATGTTAAAAAATTAGATCATATGAAAAGAAAAATCTTTGCAGAAGAGAAAAATCCGTTGGAAGTATGAAATGTCCGCTGGTGAAGTATTCTTTCTTTCTTTTTCTGTGACTACTTGTATATATGGATATATATATCAGATTTTATCCGATATGTAAAGTCCCACATATTCGTAGCGGACATTAGATAAAGTGGACAATTTTTGGACTTTTGACATTGCTGGTTCCAGCAGCTAGATATTGATCATTTCCTGCATCTCTGAATTATAGCACCTAGTATATATGGCATAAATATGAGACCTAACGGACTATTTTCAAAAAGAAATAGAAAATATTATTTGTCATGTTATTTTTGGGCCATCTTTCAATTGCCAAAATGTCGATAAGGTTCTTCTTTGATTTCGAAGCTTTTTCCTTGGACAGGAACAATTACGGTCATATCGAATCACTTGCTATTTTCTCCATGTTAAAAACTACGATGATTCTTTTTACCATTATATTTCAGGAAGGCAATAATCGATGAAAAAAAAACGGTTTTTACGTTTTCAAGAAGAAAAATCTTTTTGGAAAAAGAAAGCGGCTCCGAAGACTACGACGGCCACGAACTTCATTTTTGCAAAAATCAAGATCGTTTGTTTACTGTGCTTCAGGCGTGAAAATGCGCATTTTTCAGTGAAAAAAAAGGGTTTCAATAAGCCCTATTACATCTGAGCTGATTTTTGCTGAAATAATAAAACGACCTTTGTATATAATCGTTTAAGGAACCATGTGCGTTCCTTCTAAACTGATCGATATCGATCGATAGGTACTGGCTATATTCTGTGAAGAAACGGCAACATTCACTATTAACACTGCGTGACTGATGAAACAGCACTCGATCACATCACAACATTTAACGAATGCCACAGCAATAAAATACGAACAATGCTCACTGTAACCATGACACAATTAGCATCAAGGCAATGGCAAATCCATTGACAACAAAGTCTCCATACTATTTTTTCCCCGATCTTCGTAGGTATTGATGAGTTTTCGAAGAAAGTCAATGCAACTTAACTCAGTTAAACCATACCTTGCATGTACCATCATTGGATAATCCCTCAAAATGAAAACTACTCCAAACTATTTCAGTAGATAGACTGCAAGTAACCGGCACAACATGCACAACTCGAAAATCATGAGAATGACAGCTAAGCCTTGTATTTGGGGTCGAACCCCTATTTTTTGCCCGATGATTTCAGTTGAAAATAGTACCATTCGATGTAGAATTAAATTCTGCATCTAACGCAAACAAGTGCAGACTCAACGTAAGTGTTGGAGCGAATGTCAGCAGAAAAATCTCGAATCTGCTGTTAAGTTTCCATAGATGGAAAAGTATTTCATTATCAAATTGAAGAATACATTGTAGTGATGCTAGTTTACGCTTATTTTGAGATGAAAATATTGCAAGATTTCTTGCCTTAGCGCTAGAGTAGAGACATTTCATCACTGAAACCATGAAAATTAAGTATGGTAATTTATCTTGAATAGAGAAGTACGCAGTTACTATTACGAGATGAAAAATAGATCGTAGATTTTTGGAGATTTTCTACAACGGGAGTTAATTATTAGAGATATTCTTATCTAGTTTCTTTTTCTTAATGTCATTCCAAAATTTCTAAAAACTAAGAAACGTTTTGAAAAAATCATCAAGAGATTTCAGTCGTTCTTCAATGCATTGACTTACAAGCTTAATTCTGATCTAACTGGCTGTACCGCAAAATTAAGAATAGCTTTACTCTATTAATCAGACAAGGAACAACTGTATATAAAACAACTATACAGATTGAGAAACTTTTGAAATATTCTTAGAAGACAATATATCAAGAGAAGATACAGAAATCATGCTGTCATATCATTGTGTCGTAGCAGAAAACATATGAAAACGATTTAGATGACAGGACAAAATAAACAAAAAATATGCATGAAATGAAAAACGAGGCAGCCTATGAATTTCATGACCTTGAAGGTGTAGTAGTTTAATTTAAACAAAACTATTTATTCTATAATAGGAAAAACTAGGATGGTACAACATGTGTACCACCACTATCTGCAAAGAGTTAATAACTACTGAATATATATTCTTATTGTAGATTTCTCATTAATTTTCAATCACTACACTACACAAGAGTCTTCTTTCAATAAAAAAGTGATATATTTCATTTTGATATTAGCTTAGATAATATTGATACTTAATTCTTTTTTCTTATGAAGTATAATATAAATGTAATAATCAAAACATTTTTTCTTTTGTCTAGCATGTTATTAGTTATGCGTTATTTTATTATCTTTCAACATTTTTCATTTTAACAATAAGTTCTCATTTTGCTTCATACATTTCAGATAGTGAATTGATATTCAAAGCCAGACAGTTGAGCAAAATTGAAAATAATTTGTTTTAATCAACTATTTCACAAAATAGGAAAGAACAAAAACTAACATATGGTTGAAATTGGAAGCAATCAAATGTGAAGTCTCACACATTTTTTTACGTTATGTACATAGGGTAGTCAAAAAGTTCTCGTAATAGTACTCTAAAATTTCATCCTGATTGATTTTATTCCTGATGTTGGCCTATTCTAGTAGTGAAATCTGTTATGTATTAAAATACCAATANACGATCAGTTTCCTTAATAGATCATAAAAAGTGATCATGCTAGCGTATTTTTTGTCAAGGATGCCTCCTTCTTTCACTTACTTTTCTCAATCGTCTTGTTAAGATACAAGGGGATTGAAGAAGACAGATGAAAGAACAAGCCGCCCTCAGCAACAAATAACCAACCAAGCATGACCATTTTTTTTTACATATGTTCGTGGTCAACAAGCAAGTCGTGACTAAGGTTCAATATAATATTGGTTTTGATATTGTTTTTAATTCTAGCATTATGAGCAGCAAACGAAAGATGTGAAATGAACACCAAAGACAAACGTGATTTTATGCTTGCTATTGATCATTTTCACTTTCCTCTTCATTAGAATCAAATCTACAAAAATTGATCGAGTTTATAGTAATACAAAAAAAAGGCATCGATGAAGACGAATAAAACAAAGCGACACCAACAAAAGAACGCAATACGCTATTAGTAGTAAAATTGAAGGTCATGATAAAGACTCTACTCTACTTAAGATAAGAACTAAAATTTGTTTCTAAAATCAAATTTGTTAAACCTACACGTTTTCATAAAATTATATTAAACAATCAAACCTAACATCCCACGTAAAAAAAAACTATTCAAAAGTTCATTCTTAGCTACTTCAGTTGACTTGAACTAGTTGAATAAATAGTAATGAGTGAAATTTCTTAAAAAAATTGTTTTGTGTAAAGCATTGCTTTCCCAATAGAACAAAATGGAAATTAGCTTTAAATATAGTAAGATACTCAAGGATAGTGCAGACTTAATTTATTTTTTTTCGCAGGTGAACGAGTTAAAAAAAATATTAATTTTCTGTTTTTTTTTTCTCACTAAAACAGTGATGTTTAAGAAAGTAGAAGGCATTCACTTTTGTTTTATATGATGCTATTATTAAAAATTAGAAGTACTCATAACTTTTGCATTTATATTTTTTTAATTTTGTATCCAGCTGAAGGATTTTTGTTATATTTCTCAAAGTTCATCAACAATTATTTGTATGGAACAATTGATCGTTTTCCTGTGTTTCACTATAAACTTTAATATTTATCAAGAATAAATCTTACCATTTGTTTGTGAAATATCTTGATCATAATTATTTGTTATTAGTAAATTTCGGTGGTCATCAAGAGCTAATTGAGCAGCTGCACGCTGTGCTAATTTAATACTACGCTCAGTACCAACGTAGTCTTTATCACCCACATACAGTCGAACCGTATATATTTTTGCATGAGCTGGACCCGACTCTTTTTCCAGTCGATATTCAACAAATATCTATATCGATAGAAATTTTTCTTTTCATACTAATAAAATTGTAATTGTTTTTTGTTTGAACATACTTTATTTCGTCGAGCTAAATCATTAATAACTTTTATCGGTGAAGCTTGTTGCATTTTTTAATATAATAATAATAGGATAGAATATGTACACAGGATAATAAAGAGGAAATGAAGAACTGTTTTTCTTTTTTATTTATTTCACATATGATTTTCTCCTTAGATATTAATAGACGGACGGATGAACACATACATAAAACAGATAAAATGACGAAGAAACACAAACGGTCAGAAGAAAAATGCGCGTGACTACAGAATGATAAAATGAAAAACAACAAAGAGGAGAAGAAAGCAAAGCGTCTGTTTCTTTCTTTCTTCATTTCATGTTATAGAGTACATTTGAAGAAAAAAATACGCTAAACTTATTGATAACAGATGGAGTATATTTATGATTAAATCTATTCATCATATGAAATATCAGAATTTTTCTTTTTCATAATATCAATAACCTGTGATTCATATAGTTCGATAAGAGGAAAATATTAACTTACTCTCAATTTGATATAATCGACCATTGTAGATACCCATAAAAAGTTTATACAATCAACGTAGTCTAAATAAAATGAAATATTTGTATACACATTTGAGATCGAAAAATCGAAGGTTTATTTGAATAATTTTGTTTATGAATATATGCGAAGGTACTGGTAATGTTTGTGTGAGTAAATAGTACATATTTATTTGTTTTACGATTCTTCGTATTATCATGTTATGAATTTATTTTTTCTCTTTAATCAAAACATTGTGAATAGATTATAAACGTCCTTCTATATAGAATCAACTCAAATTCTATAATATTTTTTTTTTTACTATTGTCAAAATATTAGTGTCATACGAGTAATTAACGTATTCTTTTCAGATGCTTTCATTCTTTTACGTCAATCAAAAAAAAATCAATAGTGTCCAACGACATTTTATTAATCATAGCCATGCACGTGTTTGAAAGTATTGTCTTTGACAGTAAAATATATCAAATTATAAAAAAAGGAAATACGCATAAAAGTACACAACTTTTTTTCTTCGTAGAGAAAAAAACAGAATAAATTAAAAATTTGTTCCCCTTTGTTTACATTGACGACAATCAACATCCGTTGATTTATTTTCTGCAGTACAATATCTGCACCGCCATGAAAGATCTTTTTCGGTATCTTCATTGATTGTTTGTTTCTTATCACCGGCATAATTAGATGAAAGATGATCTTCATCTTCTTCAGGTATTGGTTCTTGTTTTTGATCAAAATATTCTTGACTATCAGTATAATATTGTCCATCTTGATCATAATATCCTTGATCATACTCATAATATTGTTCGTCTTGATAAGACTCATTTGAAGTNATGGTTTGAAGAAGTTAAAAGTTACTCACCATGTTTTCTCATGGTAAATCTTTAGGACACCCTATAGATTGTTATGCATTATCAATTTCTTTCAATTTTTCAGATATGCAAAAACTTACTGTGTTTCATTTTGGTGAATATTCAGATGTGTTAAATAAAAATTTGCCATGAAAAATATCAATATTTTGAATAGAAACTTTTACAATAAGTCGCTTTTTTTTCAGTTTTGTACAACAAATTATCATTGGCGCTATTGATTTGAATGAATGCTTTGTTGCAAGATGAAGACATTTACGATCTTCTTCCTTTTCATTATATTTGTATTTTATTTGAGGTGACTTCTTCGCTCGATTGGCCGATCATCGCACCGCGCTCATCGTTTTTTTTCTCATTGTTAAGTTCAATTCAACTGACGTTGAAAATAAAGAGAGAGAGAGAGAGAGAGAGAGGAGCATTCTTCACATCATATTGGACACAGAGTGAACTACACAAGTAGCTATACCTTACATGTTTGAATGCAAATAATTATACACTCAGAAGTATGAAAGTACAAAACTATTCGCAGAGATAAACTCGTTGCTTAATTCATTAAATAGCCATAGAATTTGTTTTATATATTATATAGATTTTTTAACTAGTGCTTAATATTAAGTAGCCACTCAACCAGATATATTCAAATTTAGTAGCTCTTGGATCGAAAGAAATCTTTTAGAGTACATAAATAGATATGGATATTAAATCATTATACTATCCATTTCAAGATATACTGTGCTCTACTGTTTTTCTTTGAATAACTTGTGATAAGAGGATTACAGAAACCTGCGATTTTCACCATCCAAGAGAGAACATCCAAGATTATTGAAGTGCATCGCAATATTATTGATCAGCAATTGACCAATCAGGTGAGCTCTTTGTGAAAATTTTCGAAAACGATATTCTGAAACTTTTTCATTTGAAATTTTAACAGAATGAATCAACAAAAGACGAAGTTTTTCTCTTTTAATCTATTCGAGACCGAAGTTCTTAGTCTACTTCGTTCGGGAGTTATAAAACTTCTCTCGAGCTCTTCAACTTGAGCCAATTGATCTGTAATCACCTAGAAAAGCAGCCAAATAGTAAGAATTCGCCATGCTAAGTCATGTAGTGATATTTAATTTCAGGTTCGAAATGATCTGACTCTGTTATCTCAATATGTTGGAAATATTGAGATAATAGAGTTAGATTAATTCAAATCCAAAACAAAATATCATCATTCGACTCAGAGTCATGAATTACTTCTGTGTAATTGCTTTTCTGGATGATCACAGGTCGATTGGCTAAGGCCGGAGATTTCGGGAAACGTTTTATAACTCTCGAACGGAATAAACTAAGAATGTCGGCCTTTAGTAGATCGACAGGAAAAGTGTCAGAATATCGTTTTCGAAAATCTTCATCAAGAACTTATCTGAGCCATCCATTGATGTCCAATTAAATTTCGATACAATACGATGACCATGAGTGTTTTCTCTTGAATGATGAAAATCGTCGATCTCTAGAATGTTCTTATGAAAAATTATTCAGATAACAGTGAAGTATATTGTATTTTGAAAGGAATAGTAATACTGTTAATCTTCAAATAGTGCTTGATATTAAATAGTTTGCCATTTGAGAATATTTCAATTGTTATAACTTTCTCGAAGGAAATCTGTTGAGTAGAAGACGACAAAAATATTGTCAAAGAATATACGGAAAGAATCATTTTCGTGAATTTCTTTCTCTGTATATTGAGCAATCAATTTGTGAGTGACGATAACAGAGAATTATCTAAAATGAAGATATTCCAAAATCGTTTATTAAATTTATTCAGGTTTATTCAAACGAGTATAATGAATATCCCTAGAGTTCAATTGTCTAAAATATTTAAAACAAAATTCAATGAGTTTTTACTAATTCGAAAAAAAATGTAAACAAGAATACAATATTGATCAACTACTAAAAAAACATTTTTTTTTCACCATTTAAGCTAAAACTATAGAAAACAAGTTATAGGAATGACCTAATCCAATTGCGATGATTAAGTATCATATTCTGATATCGGCAATGTGAATAACCCACTCATGTAATTATGCTATTTTTCTCTGTTAAAAATAGTGTGGGGAAAAACAATGATATTATTTATAATTGCAGTCTTATTCTACGTAGGTCATAGAATCATTTACGAAAGACGACGAAGAAGGGATATCATATCTGTTTTTTTACTTGTCAACATGCATCAGAGAATGAATAATATATTAGTAAGAAATTTTAGCAGAAATATGTTGATAGATACCAAGACTGTCTTAACTATAAATATAGACGTTTGCCTTGTTTACAAAACACAATCTCTTTATTTAGAATGCATATTATTTCTATTGAAATTATTGTTTTATTTCTTCCCATTGTGACTATTATTAGTTACACTGAGACAACAACTAAACAAACAACATTGTCTCAAAATACTGGTTTTCGTTCATGTCAAAAACCAAAAGATGGTCAACATTTATGTTTTTGTGGAAAAAACAATGCAATGTATGATCGTCTTAAAGGCGAACGATGCATCAGGGGAAAAGTGATTAAAAAAGGAAATCAAAAGAGGTATATGAATATGAATAATTGAAAGACTTTCAAATAAACTTTAGATCACAAATGAATATATTCTGAATAAATCTAATCGAAATTTTAGTGAAACATCAAAACTTGCTGGTCTTCGATTAACAACTAAACCAATTCATCAATCTACTCGTGATGATAATAAAAATGTTCCATGCATAGGACTTAGATTCAAACCACTGAATGAAACTCAACACGCATATGTGCCACTTCGTAATGTATCGGTTGAAGCTTGGATTGATTCTTTTGCTGCCGACGTCACTTTGACCCAAGTGTTTTTCAATCAGGAAGAAAATCCTATTGAAGCAATTTATGTATTTCCTATTGAGGTATGTCATTCGGAAGCTAGGTTTGGTTAATATTTAATTAGAAACAAGACTCACAGTTAAAATTCGTATATGTACAAATTAACTGTTTAGACAATTCAAATGTATAAAAAGGATGAGAGTTGATAAGAACATTCATCTCTACAAGCTATTTTCTGAAAAAAAAGTACATGATGATAATAAGTCAACGTTGTACTATAACATGGGCATATTTACTTATCGTTATTCGATATTGAGTTTTTCCGTTTGTGTACCCCAATACAGCGCACCTGAAAGTTGCTTTTTCTTTTTTTTGAGTTGAATATATGCAAAAACAAACATTGATGATGTTGATTAAGAATATCATCTTACGAGGGAGGTACCCGAAGTGATTAATCGGTTTTGAGTTCAAACTCTGTGCACAAGGTAGACCCCAGTAAGGTGCGAAAAAATTCAAAAGGATAAGGGCCCATAGGCCTTTCCTCCAG